TCAAACCTGTGCTCCTGGTTTTCCAGTAAAAATTGTCACACGTTAGAAGACTCAAATCTTCTCAGATCCTCCTTCTACCTCTTGTCCATCATTATCCCAGATTAATGCCTGTGCCTTCTTTGTTCTGCAATGGCCATTGTTGGTAGTTTTGAAAAAAAAAGTATTTTACTGTACCACATGTTGAGAAATGCATGCCAGCAACCATCCTTCTCATTTAAATTACCACAGAGCAGTCACATCATGCTGTTTTCTCTGGATCATTTGTGCAATGTCAGGTAAGGCAGGATGTAAATCAGCCATGACTCGGTTCAGAAGTAGGACTCCGAAATCTTCTGGTTTCAATTTACTTTGGGAATTCGTGGGACTGACAGGATAAAGGAACGTGAATAAAGAGAAATTTAATACCTGCTCTAAATCTTGGTGTTATACAATGCCTCTATGTACCCCTTCCTCAGAAGGCATTGATCCCCTAGTCCTCTAAGGGGTAAAGGAGAATAGGGAGACTGATTTTCCCTCCATTTCTATTCCCCTATTTTCACGGCTCCACAGAAGAAATCTCCCTTTCCTCCATCTCCAGGCTGTTTAGCATTAGAAAGCAATCGGTCTGTGAGCAACACCTAGAACAACTCTTCCCAGATGGGAGATCACATCTCCTCTTTCTCTTCTAGCAAGGGTAGCTTAGAAACCACCTTGTCATGAACCATGCCTCAGGTTCCGCTTTGCTTTGAGATAAAAGGTCATTATATTTTGCCTAAGGAAACTCTGCATGTCCTGTGCTCTGAAAGATGGCTTGGGGGCCTTATACTTTAAAAAAAAAAAAGACAACCCTACTTAGAGTTCCTAATCTCAGAGATACACACAAGCATATGATAAAGTCTTGACCAAGGCCATGGACAGATACATCTCTTATATATTTGTAAGTTTAATATAAAACTATAAGATATACCTGTCCACATATCTTTAGCTTAGAAAGTAATTTTTTCATATTAGTTGGATGATATCACAGCCTCTCTTACACAGTGTGGTGAACATCAATGAATTTCATAGCACTAAGTTTCATAAAATTGTACTTATTCTAGCATGACTTGCATATGGATGACAGATACATCCACATTTTAATCCTCTGCTATTCCTGGAAACAAAGAGCATATTCCTTTATTAATTACACTAATCCAAACTAATCTTTTATGGAATACTTGGCATTAACAGAAAATATCTATATCTAAAATAAGCAAGATGATCCATTTCTATTCCCTATATTGTTTTAGCTTACTGGGTCCCTTGCACTAGTTTTTCTTAGATTGACATGACTCACAAATGGCTTTTCAAATACAGTTTTCCCATATGCACCTACGTGCACGAGTGGACCCCCTAGATGATGAAACAACTTCAAAGAGGGGACAGAATGATCAGAGAGGAGAGAAATATTTGAAGAGCTGGGAGCAGATAACCTTTTAGGACTGTTCCCACAATTTTGGCAGGTAAATGTGTCTGATATGAGCACTCCAGTCATGCACAGATAGATGACACATTTGTGTGTGGGCAGAGGATGAAATTGGGTGTGGACTGCGTGCCTCTGCAATGGATACAGTGATAGGTCTAACTCAGCACCAGAGACACTGAGTCATCTGTTCAGAGCTTAGAGTTCTTCATCATTTTCCCTTTATCACATGGAAAAATCCTGGCTGGATTGCCTGCAAATTTATCCTTGCTGGCTGGAGCCCAATCTGAGAGAAAGACCAACAGACAGTGGGGTTTAGACACACTTGGAAAACTCTCCAAAGTCCACTGATTCATGTAAAAAGAGATTGCATACCCTCACGATAACACCAAGCACTCGGAACAGTTATTTTGTCTCTTTCATCCTCTTACAGAATGAGCATAGCTGAAAATAAACAGTCTTGTAAGTGTCTTTGAAGAATTGAACTCAGAGGCAATTGGAAAAACCCAAGCGTATAACCTGTCATATGGAAGTGTGTAGAAAGGAAGTGGTATCTAATTTGGGGCAATAATCACTATGATCACCTTAGATGCTGACAGTGAGTAAACATTTCTATATTCTGAAATCACGCCCAGCATCACTATCACATTATCTTTGGCTTACCTTTTCAACACAAACTGGTAAATTAACTATATGCCAACAAACCCAGTGGCATGATGGTAGACAAGAACTCCCTTATCCTCAAAGCAAAAACACAACTGTAGCCAGTCATAACAGCCTGAGCCAAAGAAAACCTCAGGAAATCTTATGAAGAAGTGAAAATATTGCAGAATAATACCACAAACAGGATAGCTGCTGTTGCTTAACTTCTTGTACTGTCTCGTAAGACTACGATATAAACCTGGTGCATATAAATGTTTCTGCTGTAGGAAGCAAGAAAAAATATGTTGTTACTATATAATTTCCAGATGAAGGTCTTGACCACACATGCTGTCAAGTGAGAAGCGTTATAGGAGGGGTATTATATATAGCAGAGGAATTATATTACCCACACCACTTAGAAGAGCAGGGGAAAAAAGGTGGTGCTTACTAGAATAGGTATTATTTTCAATTCTCCTACCAGCAGATAAAGCATATATGTGTTATGGCAAGAGCAGATTGTAGGGGATGAGCAAACAGAGGAGTGTCTAATTAGCTCCTCTAGTCAAGGAGCAACTGATCGAATATGCCAAGCTCAAGGTTCTAGGCTGGATGTCAAGCCTATCTTTATGTCCAGTCCTTCTCCTCCTGCTGTCACTCAGAAGCGGCTTCATCATCACTAAAACCTTTTGGATCAGATCCCCTAGATAATGCTGGTATCCAACTCCTCTGTTAACATCTGGCTTTGTAATAATCTTAATTGGTAATCAGGTTCTTGGAAAATGCTTTGTCTGTTGAAGAAAGTAAAATTTCTATTAGAGCTTAGAGAGAATAGCAGATTATCTACTTCCTGCCTAACGTAGAATTTCTTTTTCTTTTCTCCGAAACAGCTGGAGACCACCACCATGGGAGACAGGGAACTGAACTGGATGAATTCTGAATCTAACATAATCACAATTTTTATTCTCCCTAAAAGGCATGATCGAACGTTTAATGATGAGAGTGTACCATAACTGAGATATAAGCTGATCCCAGAAAGTGAGTCAAACCTGAAAGTTCACCAGCACAGATTTTCATATTGATACCAAAGATCAATTTGGTCAGAAGGCTCCTAAAACAGAAGTCAAGCTGAATGACTAAAATCTGGGTAGACAGGATTCTGCAGCAGTCATCAGATAAAATCAGTTAAAAATGTAGTTTGTTACAGAAGTCAGCCAGCCAGCTACATGTCACAGCAGTGGTACCCCCAAAAATGCAAACTCCAGTTGCATGTAAATAGACAGTTCAGTTCTTCACATACACCCTAGCTGCCTCTTATTAGTATGAAGCCTATGTGTATTATCATGGTTTGTAGAGGTCTGACAAGAGAAACCCAAGCAATGTTATCTCAAGGATTCCTTGTGCCCCCCAGGCGCTCTCTGTGCCCTCCACTGCCTTTGCACAGCAGCTGGACCATAAGCTGACTGCAAAGGGAGCTGCCTTTTGTTCTGTTTGCAGAAAACGTGTGAGTGACGACAACAATAGGAATAATAAATACAGATGGTATTACGCACACATGCAAACATCCCTGCAGAAAATTCAGCCATAGGGTGAATACCAAAATTTTACTTGTCACTTAGCTATTTATAAAATCAAAGAGACTTAAAAATAGCAAAAATTACTTATCCTTGCCAAAACCATCTCCCAGAGTGGACAGCCCCAGGGGCTGAGATCTGAGCTCTGATCCAAACAGCAGTGGTACCTCCCCAGCGGGGAATTCCCAAAACAGGAAAGATACCCCAGAGCTGACACAAAGCCAATAGATTTGGCTCCCACGCCAGACTTCCTTCAGCTGTCAAGTCAAGCGTATCATGGTTAAAAAATCTGCTGTGCTGTGGCTATTTCCTGCTGGAGCTCTGGTGGGTTGGGCAGAGACAAGAGGAGCTCAAGGGCTCTTTTGATCATCCCTGGCCCAAGATCAGAAACATGCACCCAGCCCCATCCTCTCCAGTGGCATCCAGCACTGCACAGCAGTGCAGACAAGGTCTTTTATCAGTCCCTATAAGCTTTCTACCACCCTTTCTGCAGTAATGCTTATATGGCATTACTCAGCAGTTCATCTGTTGCTCTGCTGGATGAACCACTCTCCTTGCCACCACTCCTCTCAGAGCCATACCTGTGAAGTTATCTTTTGCTTCTAAGGTACAAGAAACATCCTTTTGTGGTCAGCACCCTGCTGGGGATTATAAGCATGCAAACTGAAGCTTAAAACTAGTCCACACATTACTGAGTATATTACCCCATCTGCAAGTGATGGGGTAAGCCCTCAAGAGGTATGATTTTATCTGATATAAGAGTGGGCAGAGAGTGGTCTGCAAGCTGTCCTGGACCAATATAGACCCAGGCTTTACAAGTCCCATGTGATTAAACAATGACTCATGGCTGATCTCTGCCTTGCCTGTCAACACTCACCACTGCTTTACATCCTTAGCATTGCTAGAGCACAACAGAAGATCACAAAAAGGTAATAGAAGATCACAAAAAGGAAACAGAAGTGAACAACATTAGTTTATAACACATCATAGCTCACTCAGCCTCTGTACAGTATAGAAAATCTTGAGGTAGCAAGTATTTTACGGTTTCTTAAAATAAAATATAAACAGAACTCAAGTATCTTTTTACGCCACCTGTAAAAGAAAAATTAATTGGAGGAGCATAAGCAAAACATTAGCAGGCTATTTTAAAAACCTTCATTGGGTTCTTTTGCTCCCAAGTCTATTCAAAAGAGTTCATGTAAACATATGCATATGTAGCAATACTTAGATGCATATATCTACATATGTGTATAAATACGCAGTAGAGCATTCCTCTGCTGTGGCATCCTTTTAATATGGCATCATTTTAAAATCCTTCATGAGTTGAGAGACAGACCCAGCCTTACCTTCTTAATTCCCAGCTTCTCTTCACCTTTTGAAACTGAATCCTCCTTACTGTCTCTATGGTGACAGTGACGTCCACATCCCCCTGATGAGATGGCTGCTGGCACGCACATCAGGTGCCAGAGCAAATCAGTCAGCACTGGAAACCTCTCCAGCTCCTCCATGGGACATAATGCTCTTCTCCAGAACTCAGTCTGACAAACAATCTGGTAAAGAAAACAGTGTTAAGCCACTATCTCACACCTAAAAGAGTGGGAAAATGGGTCTAAATATGAGCTCTAAAACCTTTTTTCATTTTTCTCTTCAATCATAATTACTGCTACTTGGGAAATAAATGTGATAGCACAGCTATTAAAGAGTGTATCTGGATAACCTACACAGAATGAACTAATTAAAGGTAATTTCTCCCAGAGGGTTTGAGAATGAGAAGATATTTGTGTCATGAAGTAGAAGTAGCTGATAAGCAGTATGATGAAAATCTCCTGCAATGTCCATCCACCTGGCACATGGAACCAGCAGTGACAGAAGAATGCTTCTTGGCTCATGGTTAGTGGAGAGAGGAGCAAGAGAAGAGATTTTTATCAAGTGCTAAGTGACGAGCAGCAGGTAGGACCTGCAAAGGTGTGCCTTTCAGGCAGCCACAGAAGGTGGCTCCAATGACTTTCTCTTCTTAGGAAAGAAACAGTGAGTCACTGGGGTTACAAAATACCAACTATTATACACAGTCCTTGTTATATTTTATGATTTATATACCTAGCTGTTGAAACACACCCCCACTGTAACATGCTTTCTTGTAGCAACTTATAGGCACAGTGAAGGATGTTCAATTCCCACTAGCTCTTTCCCTCTGGGTACCCAAACTGGGGAAGATGTGTGCCAGGGAAGCAGCTTTGACTTTCTGCCACAGTCCATTGCCAGCACCAGCTAATACTGCACACACTGTGTATATGCTCTAGATTGCCTTTATATTCCATTGATCTTTGTAAATTTGTAGCTGAAGGTGTCTGTCACAGCTCTGTGTCACTGCAAACCTCACTCCCCAATCCAAAGGAGGAGTTAAAGGTGTTTGTGGCAGCAGGTCCTGCCCGAAGGATTTAACTGTGCAAGATATTCTGTTGCAATCAGCTCATTTACAATTCTTCTGTGCTGCAATCCACTCACAATTAACTCTGATAAAGTCATTCACTCAAACTTTAAGGGTCCTATTCGATCCAGATAAATATTTGGAAAATGAAATAAAGACAACGATTAGTCCTGTATTTCCTTAAGTTTCCGTGTCCTTCTTCACTGGTCAGAAAAAAAAAGATACAGTCCATCATCTTAAAGATGAAGATTTTAATGGCCCAGCACACATTAGGTAAAATCTAAAAAAACAACAATAGGGAAAAAAGCAATAATAGCAATAATATATTACTAAAACTTGCACTGCTGTAATGCACATTAAAAATCTAGTCCCAGATCGAGTTACTGATGAGTTACCTACTCTGTTGAGATTTTTTTCTCTGTGTTTTCTTGGTCTTTTTTTATCTATCACCTCTTTTCTAATACTTGTTCTGTAAATGCTTAGGATTAGGAAATGCTTCCTGCTCTGTGTACTGCCCTTCTCATTCTGGGTTGCTGGACCCTGCCTGAGACTTTAGATGTTACAATAATATAAAAGCAAAGCAGTTTGAGACGAAATGCAAGTCCAAAATGAGATAGTATTACAGGACTTAGTCACATATTTAAACCCTGAAAAGTGAGAATTGCATTCCAATGCCTCAGTCTGCATAGTTGGTAAGCACTGAGATCATCTTTTCATCCAAAGCTATAGAGTTTCCTATGTATTTTCCTCCTTGGGGAAGCACCAGTCATAGTGCGCTGCAGAAGCCAATAGATTTACCTTTAAACAATCACAACAGAAGCACAGAAAGAGCTATCTCTCCTAGTTCACACAGGATTAATTTCGATTTCACACAGATAACAAGATATAAAAAGCATCTCAGTCAAATCACAGGATGCCTAAGTCATTGGACTAAGAAGGATTGTATATCCTGATGTCAACGGAGTTGCAAAAGTGCTTGTAAGTCGCTTTCCATCAGGGACCTACAGTGAGCCCCAGCAATGCAAGAGAGTGAAGCAGAGGTGATTTTGGCAAGACCATCAGCCAAGGAGTACTGGGAAGACCCAGAAAATTAAGGTATAATTTAAAACATTCCTTCTTCAGTCTCGAGAGATATCTAACAGCAGAAGGTGACCACAGGATGCAGCAGCATCAACGTGACAGCACACAGAGCAACTCCTCAGCAACTCTGACTGAAGGTCAGAGTATCACAGAGTGCTACAGATGAGAGATCACTCTCCAAGGTCTAATCTGTAGTTCACACTAAACTTTTGCAGGAAAAGTAGCACCAGAAGCAGACCAGGCCTTAAAGTAGCAAACATGAAAGGTAAACAGAAGTTTTAAACAGAGCACAACAACTGATACCTGTGCATGTAAACCATAAATAGAAAAGGAAATTTCAAGGGGTTTTATATTTAGGCTCATTGAAGCAACAAAGTGATCTTTCAAATGGGCTTTTTTCTTCCCACTCCACACTGTATAGAATTCCATCAGCTCCCTAAAGACAGCATATACTCCCTTCTCAATCTGCATCCATGTATTATATTTCACAGGTATTTAACATTATGCTATCTAGACTTCATATATCCAAGGAATATAGATCACATAACACCAATAATGCACATGGTTAAGTATGACATATTTCATACTGCAACCATTTACACCTTCAAAAGTAATATTTTTATTCTGTGGTCACATCTGTGACTGTGTGACTTCCAGGATTTTCTTGTCTAGGAAAAATAAAGCCACCGACCTCCCTTTCCCTCCACCCCCTCTTCCAAAAAAAAGAAAAACAAAAAAGGGGGGTGTAGACGAAGGACGTAGGAATCCCTGTTGCTCTTGGTGCTACTGAGCCAAGCCAGGATGAGTTTTTTACAGCACAAATTCTCCAGACTTTTGTTGTTTTCATACTTTTAAGCTTCTAATGGCAACTGCTTAATGCATTTCTAATTAGAAATGCACAATAATAATTAAAATAGTTTTTTTTATAAAAAAAGGCTATAATTATGTCTTTTGCTTTGTTTGACAAAACTATGATTTCTACCAAAGCACATGACCAGCCCTCGGGTGGTCTATTCACAGCAAACAATGTATTGTCCTGGGCACACAAGACAGAAAGATGTTGTTTAATTGAGCTTCAGACTTCATTTACTTAACTTTTATGGAAATTACCCATAATAACTTCTAGAGGGCACACCATTATTTCTTCTTTCCTCAACTCAATATGATTGAAAGTTGACATTATCGGCTTCTTCTTTCTTATGCACTCAGTTACATTCATCACTGAAACACTACAGTCCTCTTTTTAAAAGGGTTAAAAAACCAGAGGGAAGAAGTTGTTTCCTCATTACATCAGACATACAGACATACACAAAATCCATTGCCAAGTTCCCAAGAGATTTCTTTCCTGAAGTCCACTTTTAATTCTTAAGTCAGTAAAAGCTTGCTTGCTCTGTTCCTTGAACCCTGAAGCCAGATGTATAATCAAAAGATGGCCAACTCCTTTCCTATAACAGGTAAAAATTCCATCTCTATAATCAGAGAGCAGTACTTCATCATTTCTTGACAACTTTGATAGCAGGCATAATATTATGAAGCTAATGAATTATTTTCACCATTCTCAGGGTCAGAAATCTTTTTAAGTACCCATCAAAAGCTGCTTAGACCACTCTGGCACAAAGTCACTTCAAAGCGGTTAACACTGAAAACATCATTTCCAGAAGAGGAGTGTCTGAATACTCGTGTTGTTGAGCTTATCTGTTTGAAAAAGTCCTGGAGGTTTTTATGCTGGGTTGCACGACTGCACAGAAAACTGGTCAAGATACACAAACAGGAGTCTCTCAGCTTTTTAGTGAATAGTCCATTTTCATGGAACTTAAGAGCCAAGTGAGATGGGGTGAGTGGTGATGAGTTGGCATGCCAAAGGGAGCAGCTCACCAAGAAGGCCATCAAAATCTGTTTGCTCCATTTCTCTGGAGACTCTATCAGTTCCTGGAATCACTCTAAAACTGTGCTCACATCCTCCACCTGCCCACCATCTTTATTCTTGCAAACTTATTGTGCAATCATTGTGTTCTGTACCTGGACAGGTAGATTGCACATCATGTCTCCCTTGAGCAGAAGACGAGTTGGGTGCATCCATCTCATCCAACAGCCGTGTCCCCCTCAGTTTGAGTCTGCAGAGCCAGGACACCCAAGACAGCCTGTGTTCATCCCACCTCCAGCAACACAAGTCCACTTTGATGTGCTCTCTCCAGCAATGCCTGTGTCTTTCTGTCAATAAAGTACATTTGCTCACTTTAGCCAGGAGTTGGCATGAAAACCGGCATGTAACCAAGATGGATATTCAGAGACTTAGCGGCTCAAGCCTATGCTCCAGTTCTGAGCCAATATGATGACATGGATCGTCCACAGCTTCCAGCGTCATGATCACTGTCGTTGTTCACTAGTGGTTTGATATCTGTCAAGTGTGTCTGTATTTCATAGAACAAACTCAGAACAAGCACATGTAACCACATAATTATGCCTGCCCATAAGGATTCAGATGTAACACATTTTCCCATTCCACTATTATTGAAGAAACATTTCATTTTCAGTTGTGTTTTCAGAAGGCTAACAAGGGACTCATGAATACATCAAAGCAAAGTCATATTATTCATTTACAACAAATGTTTCTGATTACATTTCCTCTGACCATTCAGAAAACACTTCAGTAAAAAGCTAGAAAAAACAAAAAAAAAACCTGAGTGTTTTTCATGACTACCTCTCATAACCCTAGGTCCTGATCTATTTGCACAACACAATTTGCAGAACATCCACAGGACGTGAAATGAAGCCCAGGTACCAGCTCAGCAAACCTGAGGTCTACCAGAAAACCATCTTCCAGCTGAGATGGAGCCATCTCCAGCAAATGCAATCAGCTATGAAAACAGTGGGAAGTACACTC